TACTTATTCTGATGCATAACATTAATTTTTCCAAAGTCAACGGCAATATTTATCGCTACTCTCTGGCCCATGAAGTCAGACGACAAAGCGAGCAACAATGCCCCGCCCATCGCATTATATGCTTGTGGTGCAGACGCATGACAGCGCACACTACTCATCTAACGGAGAGTCTGACTGTCTATACACTCACTTACTTCACTCCACTGCTCTCTCCATCACAGCCAACGCTCACTCTTCAACTTTCGTCAGTGACCACATTTCGCATCCGTATGTCACTACCTTCAAACAGGAGTAATGAAGAGTAGGGCACGGTCCTTCGGGATGGATACTTCACGGCCATCAACTATGCTATGAAATATGGTAGCTTCTCTAATTGAAATTTGCAGATGAAGTTCATATTCACTTCTTGTCAAAAACAGGCATAGCTGTCAGCTTCTTCCAAATCAACACCGCCAACCGGCCATTTGGTGCACGTATGCCGATACTTTCGTCTTCAACGCGCTAATTTTCATGCTTGCGTTCTTGCTAGTGAGGACTCAGCTATCTAGTGAGGAGTGCTTACAATAAGAACTATATTTTCACGAAACGCAAAATACTTAGCTGCCCGTCATCGATCTCCAATAAACGTTTTATTCGATTTTCGAGGAACTGTCGCTAAATTGATAAGCTATTTGTAGTTCTTGATGTGACGGGGGGTTTTTTTTACAAAGAAATGCATTATAAAAAAGGGATGGACTTACTTGTAATACTTTTCCAGCTTACAGGTCTGAGTATGGCTGAGATATTCTTTGGCATCGAAAAGAGCATCACATACACCGCATCGCGCCAAATAGTGAATCTGGAAAATTAAATCATTTAAAAAAAAAGTAATGAAATAAGAATTACTAGCAATCATAGAAATTTTGATTTCCAACGATTCACTGAGGACCGAGGTACCACATGAACAGTTTAATCAAGCGAAGCGTAAAAGTTAGCTACATATGTTGGTAACTTACGTTGCTTGATGCAGGCACTTCCAATCGCGGTGAATTACCCATCCATACTGTTGGCGCTGATGCTGCAACGAGAACTGTTAGGCAGGCAGAAAATGAATTTTCCAGATCACAGATCTACATTAAAATTAGAATTAGATAAAAGGACAAGTATAGAATTTTGAAAGTACGACAGCCGGTCCGAAGATATGTTTTTTGCGCAGTTTTTCGTAGATTTCTGTCGTTAATGGCACTGGTTTTCTTTGGCAGATGCTTCTAGCTAAAAAGAAAATGGCACTGGCCATCACGAC